TAAGTCAGTAACATATATAATATATATTGTATATACATGAACATTTTTGGCATTCTCATGTCATAGCCGTTTAATTTTGGAACTTAAAAGAATCGAATCAAGACTTAGCATCACTTGATATTACAATAATGGTTTTATTCCACGTCTTTCGATAACATTTTATGTTGACAACGTCATGTTAAATGCTTTAAAATTAAAAGAAAGAGCTGGAAAAATGTTTAAAAAATACTCATTAAATGTGTTTTCGTCGACATAATGTATACATTGTTTTTTTTTTTTTTTTAATCTTTAATCTCAATAAATGTCAACGAACATTTATACTTTATAGCAATATAAAATTTTCTGAAAAACGTGTACCTAACTAACATTTAAAACGCTTCTATTATAAAAGGTAATGCTWGGTAGATTAAAAAGAAAAAAGTAAAAACTTTTGTTTATGATTTCCACATATTATGACGTGATTAGTTATTTTAGTTATTGCGCTATATTTTCAGCTCAAATTGTCTCAAAACTTTACTTTTGCCGTTTCCGTCATTACACTATTCATCAATAAACGAGAATWAATCCAAATTTCAAATTTCGTTCAAACTAAAAAAATTATAATTGAATTTGCCTTTTCCTTTAATACGAAACCATTAAATAAATACCGAACTATATTTCGCTTAGATTTAACGGAAACATATTTAGTGTGTCCTACKTACCCTGTGAAATTTATCACAGAGTTTGGGAGAAGTGGTGAGTATTAACTATTAATATTGACAATATGAGTTTATAAATACTTATATAAGTACATAATATGATTGACTTTATTGTATCCTGTAATATTATTCATTCAAGTTCAGATATTTGAATTTCAAACTATACTATATATATATTTTCAATTATTCAAATATTTAAGGATGTTTAAGGCGAGGCAAACACATCACACATGTCGTCTTCAAATGGGTTCCTTTTTCCTAGTTTCTTCCCATTATAGATCATTAAAACTTAARATACCTTTTTATATCATACTATAAATCAATACAAAACAGTTCAATGTCTATAATTTTTGAATAATAATATGCAAACATTTAGCATCACCCACAGGATACTTATCAGTGTCATAACAATGTTCTGTTTGTGATATATATGTATATTCATAATTAGATAATATTATATCAATGGATTTTTAGGATACTCACCAAGCATTTTGACTACACGCCCGGTGGCTCTGGTGTGGGTGGAGCTCAGGCAAGCGGTGTGCCGGCAGTGAGCCGAGCATGTTGTTCTGGACGATTCACGCTTGGATTTGTACAGCTTGAGGCCGATGAGTATGTACAGGACGACGATGAGTATCCACGGGGCCAGGAAGAATAGTATTGAAGACAGTTCAAATGCGTACGGCAGCTTGTTGGCCAGTCCACACGTGGACAGCTCTGGTATGATCGTGCCGTCCTGTTCGCGTCCGTACACAAGTCCCATCTGTATGGCCTGCACAAACCAATACGACACGTGGTTATTATCGTACACGACGCAATGCACTGAATGTTTTGCGGTGAAAGAAATGAAAGAAGATTACTTAAGTGTATTTTTTTTTTATATATATACCCTTGTCTGCTCTCTAGCACCCCTCCCCCTCCCATCACTTGGCACCAAAATACACAACCACGAGTGAAATTCGTTTCCACCCGGGTTAAACCTTTTTTTTTTGTTTGTTAGAACTTTGTAAACCTCTTTATGTGTGCGGTTAACGATGAAAATCCCGAGTCACCCTTTACCACCGCACTCTAAAAATATACGCAAATAAGTTTTCCGTTAAATSTCGGCAAGACAAATACGATATCAGCCATGACTTGTTTAATGCGTATTATCATAGACTCGAGAGTATAATTTAAACCCGTTTCGTTTGCGATGTATTCATAAATACAATACCAGTAAGTAGGTACCTATATAAAGCATTAAAGTACACCTAAAGCATACTATAAATATTGTTTTTTTTTATCATGAACACTTATAATAGATGGCTTTACGCTAAGTTTATTGTTTGCAATCGGTAGCAGAATATATTATGATTTTTTTGTTTAGATACATCGGAAGATTTTTTCTATTATTTTTAGAAATAAACATCCAAGTATAAAAAATTCAGTGAATTTAACTATAGAATACGCAGACTATACATATAATATCTTGTTTCCGTATAATATTGAAAGTAATATCATATCAGAAATTTCGATTGTGTTTTCAAATTTCAAATGACTCTTATAGTCTAGTCTGAGTTCACTCTAAAAATATACTTTGTTACTATAGTATAGGTATATTATTTCTATTATTTCACTAATACACATATCTGAACTGTAATATTGTTCATGATTTTATTGCATATTGTAATCAAGTAGTTCATGGTTCACATACAATGAACTATTGAAGCCAGACAAATTGTTAGCGTCGGGACAGTTTGGAAAAATCAAATCCTATCATTAAGTTTTTCATTACATCATTGTCATTATTAGATTATTATACTCTAAATAGAGACTATAAAATTTTAATAATAATATTGAACGTCCAAAATATGGTACTAACCAAATTAAAATTCATCAGGAGTAACAATTCGCTGAATTATTAGGTTGTATAATGTATATAGATGAAAAAATAAAGTTTTTTTCTGGTGGCTGCAGTGACTGTATATTGTTATAAATTATAAATTATAGTACATTTATTCTGCTATGAAAAGTCATAGAAATATGATGTGTTATTATGAAGAATTTTCATCAGCATTTTACACACTTAATATTATAATGCTATAATATAAATAATAATATTTATTATTTTATAAAAGAGTTAGGTTTGATAAATATTTAATTTTTAATGAATAGATTGACTAAAACCATATGCACTGAATAAACTGTATTCATACTATTCGTATACATAATATTAATTAATATACTTAATGATCAGCTCAAAAAAATATT